AGTATCAGAGTTTGAGGAATATCCTGCAATGCTTTCTTCAGATAATTCACCAAAGGTTCTATCAGTGTTATCATTGTAAAAAGAAGAGTGAATTTGCAATTCATTAAGAGTAAAGTTTGAATTTGAGGAAGTCATAATTTAAGAATTTAAGAAATGATAATAGGAGAAGAATGATGATTCAATTACTGGACTTACAAAGACTATTTAAGCTATCAAATATATCACGAACCAATAGTATACTTGCATCTACGATCTCATAACTATCATATTACTATTATACTAAAGATTTACTTCACCAATTATCACTCAACCAATTTTACTAATAAGACGTGTTGTATCAGATACCATTAATCTGGATTTAAGGATTCTGGTGCCAGAGTGAGAATTTTCCAAAAATCACAAAATCTATTATAACAGTTAATTCTAATAGTACAACTGCCTTATAAATATATTTCAGGTAGATTGAGAGATGAACTATTCAACTATGTATTTAAAAAAAAAACAGATAATTTAATATTTTAAATTTAAAAGCTAACAAAGGGTTCAATTTTTATGACAAATATATTTTGAGGCCTTCAGATCATACTCTATAAGGTCAAGAAGTATCATATGCATCAAGGCTAATTTGTTGCATTGGGAGAGCAGACCAATTTTCGCATATCAGCACCCATATTTATCTATTTTCTCAAACTTTATATTAGAGATTATTTTTTCAGATTTACTGTAATTTCTCTCACAATCTCTCTAATTCATGCATACTTTACAGGAATATTTTAACAGATTCTTAGGGTCAAACATGTTCTCTCTTAAAAATTTCCTACTTATGTTACTATTTTATACAGTTGCACTGATGTTTCTCTCTTTTATTTTCCTCTATTATTCAAGTTTTAAGCAAAAGATACAAACCTGTATATATAGACACTACTGTCTGCTTCATTTACACGGTATTAAGGTCAAGAATCTCTACCAATCTGCCTTCATACCTTTTATCTCCTCAATAGAAACATGCCTACAATATTCTCTTAATATTATATCTATGTAGTCTACATTGCTATTAAGATCATTCCATTCACAATTCAATAGTAATTTCATGTAATGTTCTATATAGTGGGTTACCTTTAAGGTAGAGTAACATGATCTTATTACATAATACCTCCTTGGCCAAACAGGGTAACTCTAGTTTGAATATAAGCTAACAGCACCTTGAACTGCCCTATAGAATAGTATAACTGTATCCTAACTCCTTATATAATAAGTTATTGTAACTCTTAAGTTACCTACTTTTATTACCCTACCTAGTATCATAACTACTCTCTTTACCAAGTGCCTAAATAGCTCCTGCTAAGATGAAACATGTTTAGCTAAGAAGGTACTTAACCAATATTACATCTATTCAGTAAACTATTCTCTACTACTATTCCTACTACAGTCATCTCTTAATATCAGAATAGGTATCAGTTTAATCTTTTATAAAGGCTGTTATTCTTAAAGCTTGTTAACCCTGTACAATATGCTTAATATTTCCCCTTTCCTTGATCCCATCAAGTAAAAGTTTACACTTTGCTTTATTATAAAGTTGAATTTTAAGCACTATATCTTTCAGCCTTTTCTACCCCTGTATCCTCTCTTGTTTTAGCCTTTTAGTAAGTATCTGAAACCTATATTACTCCATCTGATTGAATTTGCCTCCAACTTTAAGCTCTATGTCTTACATTCCTGGCTTCATACATGAACTACAATTATTCTACAAAATTGCAACAATTTACAATACGACCTTGAACTATAAGGTTGTATTGAACCTGAAGGTTGCATCTAACCCGAAGGTTGCATTAAGCCACAAAGCTGTATTAAGCCACGAATTTGTATTAAGTTACACTGCTTCTACAGCATGGTGAGCCATAATGCTGTGTTGAGCCGTTAGTCACTTTGGAATCGTGACCCAGGTTGTAAGAGATCGAGCCGCTAGGGGGGGTTACGTTACTGAGGCCCGCCACAACCGTAGCACAAGTAACCGTCATAGCTTTGTATGATATCTAGTTGCGCACTACTTGTAGGTCTTCAGAGCTTGCAATGTGCTCTTACGTGTTGTCAGAGAGTTCTAAAAATAGGGTGGCTTCCACCCCCCTCCACAATTCAAGATCCGCCAGATACAAGAAGGGTTGACAGCGACTTACTGCACAAACCAAAGCAGGAGAGCACACCTGAGAGGATAACCAAAAGTTTGATGAAATCATTCCATTTTACTTTTACTTGTAGCAAATTCCCAACATTAAGTTTCAAAAATACTAGCTATTTCGCCCCAGTTATCTCCAAAGATAACCCTGTAACCCAAAGCTTCAACCTGCTGTGTTCTGCCATCGGTTTTGCTGAGCCAAAGTTTTCACTCAGCTACCTACTCTAACCTAATGACCCGTATCTGTCAACGCAGGCATCAACCATCCATCTAGGGACAAAGACACTAAGCTTTCTTCCCCTTTCCAGTTCGATTTCTTGATCAGCACACCACGGTATCCCTTCCTTTCCCTCCATTCCTTATTTCTCACCGTAACCCTATTGCCTCTATTCATTCGCATGCCGAGCGGCGATGAGATTCGCCTCTAGCTTGACTTTCACACCTCCCGTTTTCCATCCACCCACAAAACAGAGGCAACTAAGAAAGAGCTTCCTACAGCGCCTCCCCCTTCCCCTCAGTGTGCTTTCCGCTCTCACTAACCACCTTTAATCTACGAAAATAGACTTTTCGTCACCTGTCTGAAACCCACGAGGTAGCCCAGTCCTATGGCGGGCAGCTCGAACAATCAGGACTTACTCCTAGATCTTGATGATCAGGGTCGCAACTATGGAAATCCGGGTCGCCCTCCCGCCATCTCGGAGGACGAATACGCTCACAGAGCTTCCACTTCTTACGATGACTTTGTAGGAGGTAGTTCCTCTCTTTCTGCATCGGGTCCAGGACTGACAGCCGCTCACCGAACCTATTCACAAACATCTGTGTTAGGCAATTATCAGCCTTACTATGATGCGGATGACCAAGAGCTATATCCTGAGGAAGGCCGCCCAGCTAGTGGCTATCACTATGCATCTGCGAGTGATGAACAACACGATGCCGCTCACGGGAATGTTAGGAATAGACAACAAGGGATGGTGGAGAGAGTAAAATCAGTGCTGGGAATGGGACCGGAATACAGCGAGATGGATTTACCGCTGACCGAAGCGCGACCAAAGGGTACGACTGCCGGGGGTGCAGAGGGCGCGTCCGGAGGTCGGGGGTCAACGGAGCGACGGAGCAGTGGGAGCAAATTCAAGTTCGGTTTTGGGAGAAGAAAAGTGGACCCATCAACGTTAGGACCGCGAGTAATTCACCTCAACAATCCACGAGCTAATGCTGTTGGGAAATATGTCGACAATCACATTTCTACTGCAAAATATAACATCGCTACTTTTATCCCCAAGTTTCTTTACGAGCAGTTCTCCAAATATGCCAACTTGTTTTTCTTGTTCACAGCAGCCTTGCAGCAGATTCCAAACATTTCACCAACTAACAAATACACCACTATTGGTCCTTTAATTGTCGTTTTACTGGTGTCAGCGGGAAAGGAACTTGTCGAGGACTGGAAGCGGAAAACCCAAGATAAGGAATTGAACAGATCAAAGGCCAGGGTGCTCGTGGGAACATCCTTCGAGACACAGAGATGGATTAATGTTCGGGTGGGAGACATAGTTAGAGTGGAATCAGAAGAACCCTTTCCGTCGGATTTGGTGCTTATGGCTTCATCTGAACCAGAAGGACTATGCTATATCGAAACCGCCAATCTAGATGGGGAGACAAATCTGAAGATCAAGCAAGCCATCCCCGAAACCGCAAATTTGGTCAGCCCGAGTGAGTTGAGCCGACTTTCTGGAAGAATCCGTTCCGAGCAACCAAACAGCAGTCTTTACACATACGAGGCTACCTTGACAATAGGTGCTGGGGGAGGGGAAAAAGAGTTGCCACTCAGTCCTGACCAGCTACTACTCAGAGGAGCCACATTGAGAAACACTCCCTGGGTCCATGGCGTTGTTGTATTCACAGGTCACGAAACTAAACTTATGAGAAACGCTACTGCAACGCCCATTAAACGCACAGCGGTAGAGAGACAGCTCAACGTGGACATCATCATGCTTGTCGGAATTCTACTGCTTCTTTCTTTAGTATCTTCTATTGGCGATGTTATCAAACAGGTTTGTCAAAACCCTCAGTGGCCCGGATCATGGACGGGAAAACTGAACCAAGCCTTAGGCAACCGCGAGTTCTACCATGTCCTACTTGTACCTTGGGGATAACAACAAAGTGCGTCAGTTCTTCGCTGATATTCTGACTTACTGGGTCCTGTACTCTAACTTGGTTCCTATCAGGTGCGTTACCTCCCTTCCCCCAGAGCCACGCTAACCCATTCCAGTTTATTTGTCACTGTTGAAATCGTTAAATACTCGCATGCATTCCTTATCAACTCCGACCTTGATATTTACTATCCGGATACGGACACTCCCGCTGTTTGCAGAACTTCTAGCCTTGTTGAGGAGCTGGGGCAAATTGAGTACATTTTTTCCGACAAAACCGGTACCCTTACTTGCAATATGATGGAGTTTCGGCAGTGCTCTATTGCTGGTATATGCTATGCCGATGAGGTTCCGGAGGACCGTCGTGCAACTGTTCAAGATGGTGTGGAGGTTGGGATACATGATTTCACGAGGCTAAAGGAAAATCTCAAATCTCACTCCTCCCGTGAAGTTATACATCACTTCCTTACTCTCCTCGCCACTTGTCACACGGTTATCCCAGAGCGCAAAGACAACAATCCCAATGAAATAAGATATCAAGCTGCTTCCCCGGATGAAGGTGCTCTTGTTGAAGGCGCTGTTCAACTAGGGTATCGTTTCCTTACTCGAAAGCCAAAGAGTGTCACCGTGCTAGTCGAGGGTCAGGAATACGATTATGAATTGCTAAACATCTGCGAGTTCAATTCGACTAGGAAGAGGATGTCTGCAATTCTCAGATGCCCCGACGGGAAAGTTAGAATTTACTGCAAAGGCGCCGATACCGTTATCATGGAGAGGCTATCAAAAGACAATCCGATGGTTGAGGCAACCCTCCAGCATTTAGAAGATTATGCCACAGAAGGACTAAGAACCCTCTGTTTGGCCATGCGAGAGATTCCTGATGAAGAATATCGCCAATGGTCGGCTATCTACGACAAGGCCGCCACGACAATAAATAATCGTGGAGAGGAGCTCGATAAAGCCGCAGAACTCGTTGAGAAGGAACTCTATCTGCTTGGTGCGACGGCTATCGAAGACAGACTCCAAGACGGTGTCCCCGATACAATTCACACATTACAGACGGCCGGCATCAAAGTTTGGTATGAACTCAAACTCCTTGTAGATGCTACTCCTACTTGTTGGGTAGTGATACTGACGCTGTATAGGGTTTTGACCGGCGATAGACAAGAAACTGCCATTAACATCGGAATGAGTTGTAAACTCATTAGTGAGGATATGAACTTAGTCATTGTCAACGAAGAGGACATGGAAAGCACAAGGAACGATTTGAGTAAGAAATTGGCAGCTATCAAAGCGCAAAAGAGCTCCGGTGCTGAGCCAGAGGTGAAGCGCCTTTCAGGGATATGACAAAATTTGTACTTATTTGTCCAGGCCCTAGCTCTAATCATTGACGGTCGCTCCCTCACCTTTGCCCTTGAGAAGGATCTGGAAAAGACCTTCCTCGATCTTGCTGTTCTATGCAAGGCTGTCATCTGTTGGTATGCGTTTCTGCTTCTACATCGCAAAATTTTGCTAAGTTTTCTAGTCGTGTCTCCCCCCTCCAAAAGGCCCTCGTTGTCAAGCTTGTGAAACGCCACCTCAGAGCCATCCTGCTCGCCATCGGAGACGGTGCGAATGATGTTAGTATGATTCAAGCAGCCCATGTCGGCGTTGGCATCAGCGGCGTGGAAGGTTTGCAGGCTGCACGTAGTGCAGACGTCGCTATTGGCCAATTCCGGTTCCTCCGCAAACTGCTGCTCGTTCATGGGGCTTGGAGCTACCAGCGTATCTCTAAGGTCATCCTTTATTCGTTTTACAAGAATATTACCTTGTACATGACGCAGTTTTGGGTTAGTATAGCCCACCTTGTTTTATTTTCGCAGTTCTAATATGAAGCAGTTCTCCTTCCAAAACGGCTTTTCTGGCCAAGTCATCTATGAATCGTGGACACTCTCATTCTACAATGTCTTCTTTACTGTCTTGCCCCCATTGGTCATGGGTATCTTCGACCAATTCATAAGTGCAAGATTACTTGATCGTTACCCACAACTATATCAGTTAGGTCAAAAGGGCCTATTCGTGCATCCCCCTACACCCCCTCTTTGTAGCATTACTAGTTCTGATCTGTTATTAGTTTAAACAAACTAGTTTCTGGGCGTGGTTGGTGAACGGATTCTACCACTCGCTTGTTCTCTATATAATTTCGGAATTGATTTTCCTGTTCGACCATCCTCAAGCAGACGGGAAGCCAGCCGGCCATTGGTTGTGGGGAACCGCGCTGTACACGGCCGTTCTAGCTACCGTTCTAGGAAAGGCAGCGCTTGTTACCAAGTACATATCGATATCTCTTGCCTACCAAATCCTCTTGATTTGCTGACACGAGTTTAGTATGTGGACCAAATATGCTGTCATGGCTATTCCCGGCTCTATGTTGATCTGGATGGGATTTATGCCCGCATACGCTACGGTAGCTCCTATGCTTGGTTTCTCTGAGGAATATCACGGTATCCTTGGTAGGCTTATAACCTCTCCAGTATTTTGGGCCATGGTTGTCATTCTCCCCTGCCTGTGTTTGGTCCGCGATTTTGCATGGAAATAGTAAGTTGATAAGTAATCAGCATTCCCTTCCGCAAGATAAGCTAACAATCGCGCAGCGCCAAGCGAATGTACTTCCCACAAACCTATCACCACATTCAAGAGATCCAAAAGTACAACATCCAAGATTATAGACCAAGGTAGAGCTAGAGTAGTTTGGTTTTTGACACTCAAATACTAATGACTTGATAGAATGGAACAATTTCAGAAGGCTATTCGTAAGGTACGCCAGGTACAACGAATGCGGAAACAGAGAGGATATGCCTTTTCTCAGGCGGACGAAGGACAGTCACGACTGCTCCAGGCATACGACACCACCAAGGAGAGAGGCAAATACGGAGAAATGAAGAGTGTAAGATCGGAGACTCGGCCTCATTGAAAACACTGTCTATGAGTTATTACATTAACAAGGCTATTCCAAAGAGGGTTGGCTATGTAGTTAGTTTTTCATTCCGGATTATACTTTCTTCTAGCTCTTCTTCCTTATTTCTCTACCCCCTCTCTCATTCTCCTCCTTTCTTCATCATGCCTTTTGTTTAGATTGCCGTTCCGGGATACGCATAATTGCACGAGCCCGCCATTCACGGTTCAATCCTGGGATAAAAAGCTGGTATGATAGCATGAGCACGCGCAGGGCAGTTTTTTTTGTTGGTTTTGGCTGGTGGTATTGGATGACGGTCATGATGGTAATAGCACATCACGCAAAATTTCTTTCAAGCCAAATATGCAGAAAGTGACGCCAACGAGTGACCACCTATGATTTGTTGACCCCCGGCCCACCCGATAAAGAGAATAGCAAAAATGAAGACGGACTAGGAAATACCATGACACCGAATCCAAGGTATCATATTAACCCTACCGCCTCGGACCGCTAAAGCAGTATCCAGATACCAATACTCGTACCGTACGAGTATGGTTCATTGCCTGGTATTGAGTGGCGATCACTACTGCTGTGGCAATAGTGATCGACTCCCAGTGTCGCTTGGAGAGGATAGCGGCATAATTTGATGCGTCGATAGGTGACTGCGCTCCAAAAGCTAATTACCATAATGGCGGGATGATCCGCCCAGTAGTAGCGCTTTAACTAAGTCCGTTTCGGAAGTAAAGTTAAGCCAGGGTCATAACACTGATCAAGAGTTCTTTTGGTAGAGTAGGCTACTGTATTCAGCTCCTGCTACGGTAGCCAGTGGCAGAGATGCTCATACGAGACCACTCCTTCATTCAGATCTCACCGCGAAGACCAGGAGTGTGGCACTTGGAATAACTGACGATGAATTTAAGTCCCGCTACTCTTGCAGACAGACACACGGTACTCGAGTATCTCGAGCATTGCTCTGTCGTCATTTAGCCCCCTCTTCCTTCGGTGGCGCCTCTTTCTCATCGCGGTTTAGTATTGCGCTGTCAGCCGATGAGATATTGATTGATGGAGCGAGAGCCAGGGGAACTTTCAATACTCGAGTACAGCTGTACGGACTTTAAGGCTAGCAGTTGATTCTCTTCGTATGCTGCGCTGATGGGCCATCAAGTAGTAGTATGAAGAGGTATGATAGAGAAGCTCACCGGTGGTCTTAACGCTCCTTTGATCCCTGGCAGCTTTTGTCCTGCACAGTGCCGGTAGGCGTTTGGAGTCGACCCTGCGAGCCGCCCATAGCAAGTTCGCCAGACAAGTGAGGTATCATAAATCTAGAGGGGCGACCGGTGGTAAATTATTCTTTCATGTAACTCACTGCAATTATCCTTGCCGTTGGCGAAGTCGCGTTCCCACCCTCTCCGCCAGTAACCACCCCTCCTTTCCTCCTCCCTCCAGCATGATACATACAACCTGGAGTTGAGGTCTGATTCTTATCAGCCCTTTCAGGTAGAAGTTTTTTTTCTTCTTCTCTCACTTGATTTTTCCCTTTTTTTTTTCTTTTTCTTCTTCGCCTCTTTTGCCTTCTCCTTTGCCTTCTTCCTCTTTGGACTTTGCATCAAATTTAAAAGACAAAATTGTACTGTACCCGTGAGCACATCAGGTTTTTCTTCTTTCCCCGTTTTATCCCATTTGCCAAAATCATTCTGTGAGCGTTTCTGTGTTCCAGTCGCCCCTTGCGCTTAGTTGGGTAGAACTCGAGGCACGATACTATAGGAAGAGGAGAAATAGAGTGCCGCTCGCTCTCTTCCACTACTTCACTTCAACCTTCACCCCACACACCGCTTGCAGACAGGAGTCTCGCACCATAATTTTTCTCTCTCCTCCTTTTTTCCCCCTCTCCCCTAACCCTCTCCCCCTCTCCCCTTTTCATCGAGGAGGAATAAATAAAATCGAGGAAGGCCTGAAAATAGGTCTTCCCAATTCCCGGTTCTTTCGCTTTCAATCAGACCCCTTCCGACTCACTAAACTTCTCACCTCCCAGTTGTCTCGCCCTGTTCTGCGGCCAAAACCCCAGAACCCCCTAATAAAACTCCTTCTAAACCTGTTTACAGACAAACTCAAACGCACACACTTTACATCGCATATACAATATACTCGAGTACAATACATATCACGCTCGCGGGCATCTTCTGCAAACCTTCTTTGCTCAACTCCCCCCACACCCTACATCCTCACCTGCACACCGTAGACTAAGCCAGCACGTTGCAGCGCACCAGCAGCAGCATTCCTCCGTCCATTTCATCCACTACATCCGTTCCTTCCATCCTTCCATCTACACGCTCATCGATTGTCCCCCGCTTACAGTTAAGGTTTAACCTTAGTCGCTGTCTCTGTATGCTTCTTAGTTTCTATTTCGCTCAAGGCTTACGTCAATTTTGAGCGCAAATTTATTCAATATCCTTCCCTTTATTGCCTTGTTCAATTCCCGCCCAACACCCTGTTGTCGCGACCGCGCTCTCTTCCGCTCATTCATCATCATCATCGCCACCACCATTATCTGTTCGCTTTGCTGGCTTGCAGATAGCTGGGATCCGTTACCAAATTGTTCGATTCTGTACCTTTGGCTTAAGCCACACAAACCCTTGTCTGTTTATTTTCGTTTATGAAACTACAGTTACGAATCGACATCGGATACCCTTGTTGCTTGACCCAACAATCTTCGGATTGTGCAGCCATTTGCCTTTACGCCCAAAAACCTAACAAAGCCGACCCTAGGTATATACGACGTTGACGGAACTGGCGGCTTTATCCAAGCAGTTGCAGCTTTTATTTATCATTGGAAAATGGAAGGGGGTGATTATAGGAGACCCATGAGTTTTAGCACACGTCGAACGTCGGACTCGGATACTGGCGATATGGACGGGAGTGGAATATCCGGTATGGGTCCACGTCCGGGTCGCTTGTCTGGAGCATCAAGGAGACCAGAGGCAATAACACATTCACATCCCCGACCTTTACCTACACCCACACGCCCTATTGTGTCGCCCTTGCAAAATCTTCTCCCATCTGCACCCGCAAGTCCACCAACCCCAGCGCCCTCACCAACGCCGCAAATCCATCGTTTACCAACATGGTCAACTGCAAGTGAGAGTGAAGATGCTTTTTTAAGAGATGCTAGACCTCACTTTAGTAGGTTGGATTCCCAGGAACGGCAAAGATTTTTAGCCGAAATTTTGAATCTTTGCGACTCGCAGCAGCTCAGTTTCGTGCTTAATTATGTCTCGCCTCGACTGAAAAAGGATCCTTTCAAGTCTTTGCCGAATGAGCTATGTTTAAGAGTAGGACCTAACATCTGGCTAATGATTAAATTGAAGATGAGCTAAAATCATTTCTAGGTAATCTCATTCATCGATGACCCGAAAACACTAGCAAGAGCATCACAAGTATCCAAACATTGGCATGGTCTCCTAAGCGATGATCTTACATGGAAAAAACTTTGTGAGAAGCATAGTTACAGACGCCTCAGTGGTGTAGCTGGGTATAGCTTGTCTAACCAAACGCATCATCATGATTCGTCACTGTTTTCAGCCAATCCAATATCTCCTAAGGAAGCAACTTTTGCGCACGCTCTCCCAACTACCTCCGGATTCACATCCGAAATTTCTCCCCAGAACATGAGGGCAAAGAGGAGACGACCAAAGGTTACATCTTACAAATCCCACTTCAAGCAGAGATACATGGTGGAGACCGCGTGGAGGACCGGTGGAAAGGCGATAGCTAGACATATCACACCTGATCAGGGCGTTGTGACATCGCTTCATTTAACACCTGAACACATCGTCATTGCCTTAGACAACGCCAAGATTCATGTTTTCGATGCGGATGGGCAGCTCCTTCGAACCTTGACTGGACACGTGATGGGCGTTTGGGCAATGGTCCCTTGGGGCAACACATTAGTAAGCGGTGGCTGCGACAGGGATGTCAGAGTATGGGACATGGAAAAGGGGTAGGCCTCGTTTGTTATTTCAATTTATTGTGTAATTGAGCTGATCGCGGCGATTACAGCGACTGTAAAGCCATTCTCCGTGGTCATACCTCAACAGTGAGGTGTTTGAAGATGAGTGACCCCAAGACCGCGATATCCGGATCTCGTGATACTACTTTAAGAATATGGGATATTGAAAAGGGAGTCTGTTTGAATGTCTTAGTTGGGCATCAAGCTAGTGTTCGGTGCTTGGAGATCCACGGTGATTTGGTTGTTAGTGGAAGCTATGACACCACAGCAAAGGTTTGGAGCATATCGAAGGGTACATGCCTGCGAACACTTTCTGGTCATTTCAGTCAAATATATGCTATAGCTTTCGATGGTAACCGTATCGCTACGGGGTCGCTTGATACCTCTGTCAGAATTTGGGATCCTCACACTGGGTTCGTGACAATCACTTCCACAATGCAGGCCTGTGCTGACCCTTGTCTCTGTTCTAGAAATTTAATGGCAGTTCTCCAAGGCCACACATCACTTGTTGGCCAGCTCCAAATGCGTGGGAATACTCTCGTAACAGGTGGATCAGATGGATCAGTCCGTGTATGGAGTTTGGAGAAGTATGCATGTGTGCACCGGCTCGCTGCCCATGATAATAGTGTTACATCTCTTCAATTCGATGAGACTCGAATTGTGAGCGGTGGATCCGATGGAAGAGTAAAGGTCTGGGATCTCAGGACTGGTCAACTCGTGAGGGAGCTTTCGAGCCCCGCAGATGCCGTATGGAGAGTTGCGTTCGAAGAGGAGAAAGCCGTTATTTTAGCTTCTAGAGCTACTAGAACCATTATGGAGGTATGTTGACGTTATCGGGGGGGGGGTTTGTTTATCGCCTAACAACTATCAGGTATTCTCATTTTCACCTCCCGCGGACTCCCTAGGAGAACTCTATAGGGCCCCGCGAACTGCATCGGAAGAGCCATCTAGAGCCATAGAGCCAGACCAGGAGGTGGCGATGGACGAGGATGGTATATCCTGTGAAATGGAGACATAATTCAACAACCCAGAGCGAGATGCAAGGCGGTTAGACAAGGGTTTTGGCGGGGGGATATTTCCTTTGCGTTTGCTCATCATCGGTTTCTTTTTTGTTTTCCTCTATTAATTTTTAGTTTGGAAAGACGGGTGGGGCGTCAATTGCTTGTTTGATTTTTCATTATTCTTTGTTCCACTCCCCTTATCACCATCCCCACCGGCTGTATTTTCAACCTTGGCTTTCCGTTTTGTTCTCCCATTTCTTATCGCCCATCTTTTATTTCCCACCCTTGTTTTCCTCATTTTTTAATTTCCTCAGTCTCATTTTTGGATGGCGGAGCGAATGGTAAACTGTCTGAGTTGTTTTACCGGCGGGATATCTATACATACAATTTTTTTTTAGTTTCTTTCTCCATTTTCTTTTGTTATTCATGCTTACGAGTTTATTGCATGGGTTGTCAAAAATGGATGGGAATATCTAGCACCCTGGCATCCGGCTAGAATCATAGAGTATGGATGATCATAACCAAGGAGACACCGATAGGTTGCGAACGTAAGACTCCGAGGTGATAAACAGAGATTCCGTACGCCAGTTCCTGAGGAAATCTACTTAAGAATGGTCGACCCAGGAGTGATAACCGTGCAAGGCTTCCTGCCGATTATGTACAGCCCTGTCTAATAAGTTCTCATACGGTCCGTAGCAACGGCTTTTTTGCCACATCACCCGAACATCCCTGCACAACCATGGCCCCACCACATACCTGAAGAGTACACGAAGACAAACCGAGAAATTTATGCCCTATATAAACATACTGATATGGGGTATGATAAAATTTCTAAGTCGATGAACCTCCCCAAATCAACTGTTTCATTAGTAATCCAAAGAGCCAAAATTCGTGATGGCAATACCCATGATGCTCCTAGAGCTGGCAGATCCACCAAAATTACTAACACCAAATTTTACATATTATATGTATTCAAAATTATCCCAGGTATGACAGGAGAAACAAAATGGCTATGGGAAAGGTTTCATTGAATAAAGAAGTTTAGAGATATTTAAAAGTTGGTGGATGTGGAATTGGCTCACTCAAAAGAGAATAGATAGCATTTAAGTAAGTGTACTATTTACTACCAGATAGTCTTTGAAGTAGTTTAAAAAGGAGTTCTACTTGGTTGTGACTATACTAAGAAACAAGTTTAATATATATGAGGTAAAAGGTAGAGTTTGTCAAGATTGACAGAACTATCTATTTGTAGAAAATAAGAAAAATGGTTTGAAAAAAAGGAAACTAACTTAAAGGACTTGAATACCTATTACTAATAGAACTAACTGTAAAATAAAGTTAAACCAAACTTACAAGAACTCATTCTAGTAGACTACAATACTGCAACTATATCATACTCTTCTAAGAGTTAAAAAGGAAGATTCAATTATAAAATATAAAGATATAGTAAGTAGTATATGACGGAATTGAAGAATCTTACTCTAATTACCAAACTCGAAAAACTTCATAGTATCTAAGTAGGGTTTTGTTAGAACCTACATGTCAGCCTCCAATACTAAAAAAATTATTTTAGTATAGCCAGATAGAAAGCCTTTTAGAGCATACTGTAAATAGCTCAAAAAATAGTACTAAGTTTCCAATTACGTTGGTAGCCTGTTTTATATACAAAAATGTATGATATTTGGAAGTTTGTATGTTTTTTATAGAAAAAAATGCTAGAGATTTCTGACTATCTGTATATTAGGTAGAGACAACCTAATAGACTTCAGGGGGATCTATACCAACCAAGATTCGTTTCTATAGATGGAGATTGTCTAAGAAGGCACAGATTACACTCATTTCATTTTTGACTACTATAAGTGAAGTAAAGTAGGTAATATAAGATAGAATTGTAAGAACAATATTAAATTGTCAAGATCTCTTCTCGATTGCTTGATGATATCAAAATGCTTGGGAGGCACTTCTATATTTATATTCTGCATCTGAGTGTTCATGGACTATATTTATCTATTATACAACTATGCACCTCTATGATTATAACTTGCAATGTTAGGTATTGTTCATAGGTGTGAATACCTGGAGGTGATGAAAATTACCACATCCTCTTTGGTAATAATGATATTGCTAACTAGGAACTATGCTGTTTCCAATAGTAAATATCTGATCATCAGAGTCTTTAGACTTAAGGCCTAGTTCTCAAGTTGAACTAAGTTGGCCCCAATCATCTTTGTTAATGATAAAATGATCAGTTTTATCTTGAGGTTGTATCTCCTGTAGTAATTATAATTGTGACGTTCCTAAGTTGCCTGACTTCAAAGCTCCAGAACTCCATCTCCAATAGACAGATATCTTCAGGAGAACCTTCTACTAATTTGCAGGAGGCTATTCTACCAGACTGACAGATAATCCCTTGGTTGGCCACCTTTAGTTGCTCTGGGTAACAGGGTTTTAATCGCTGTTTTAGTATTAGGAATGATTCCTGCAACCTCTGCGCACTCCTGGACCCAGTAGAAAGACACTATGAAGTCTTCTGGCTTCTATGATTGTGTTCGTCAGAGCTTTAAACTCTTTTGGTTATTGTAGGGCAGGTGCCAATGTATTGGTGTCTCATTGAGAGGCTTTACCATTCGATACAAGATCTTTGTGCGAAAATATCCCGTTATGTACAGCTTATACTAAAGATGTCACATCTTTAAAGCCTAGTAACTCTCTGAGTAGTTGACAGAATTACTCCATTCTACTTCGCTGACCTAGATGCATGTCCCCTCTCATATACACTGTAAACAAGATCAGGTCAGACAGAAGGTAGCTATATATATGGTGTTATTCCGGCATCTTATATTGTGTAGTGTTATAGTAGCAGGAAGAGGCTAGGATCGGTGTGTATGATGACATGCAGGTCCCACAAAGGTGCTTGTGGGGGATATTGGAGACCAGAGACTCCGATTCAGAGTGGGGTTACCCTACTTAGGATAGTTCTTAGATAACGGATCCTGGTATTCCTAATACTGTAGAACTTGTTTTTATACTAACGGATCATAGAGTGTAATGTTATAAGCAATTGAAGTAAAAATAGTTTGATATTAAACCAGGTTGTATGAAGGATATCATGAATCACTATAAAATAAACTACAAAATTTAATACTTGAAAACATACCGTAGATATCTTATAGTATATATATTAAGTATATATAGCACAGTCATTATAGCCTAATAGCTGGTTTCCCTCTGATTCCCCTATGGCTTATCGTCAGGAAAGAAATTGTGATGTAAAAGTAATTATGACCCATCAGACTTTTCTTTATTATTCTAAGAGAGGCATACATAATACTAGTATAGAACAATGGAGGGTAAAAATCACAGAATAATGAACTTGCCTGAGCTGGTCATGCAGTACTATTTAATACTGTAAATAGCCTAAAACAGAATTACAATTGCTATATATAAGTAAACTACAAAGTTTTAATCTAAATGTCACGAACGTGACTTGGCACAAAAAATAGTTCTCACATGACTCATGATTATGAGTCATAGGCATGTTATTTTTTGATGCATATGACTCATTTGGGTCATATGACATATTATGTTATGTTTCACACATGACTTGATTATGAGTCATGGGACGTATGCCTGGCAATTATTATGCCTTGCAAGGGTGCCTTGCTGGTATGCCTTGCACATATGATTTATGTTTTGCACATGACCTTGTTATGAGGTCATGGGTTTTGTACTTATGACTCATTCAAGTCATATGACTTGTTTATTACGTTAAGATTGGTTTATGAATTTTCACACATGATCTTGCTATGAGGTCATGGGTTTTGAGCATGTGACCACTTTGGTCACATGACTAGTTTGTTATGATTTGGTTTCACAGATGTGACTATTTCGGACCACATAACTATGGACAGGAAGAACACTATATAAGGAGGCTGATGCGGCCAAGCAGGATTGGTTCTTCATGCTTGGTTCTAAGTACTTTTCCTTCTTATTACTTTAACGAATATAAAACACCTTTATAATCTATATCTTTATTGCAACATTATTATTACGCCAAGGAAAGCTTTTCACGAAGAAGAGTTAGCGAAAGCATACTATAGGCATTCCCAATAGAAGACAGAGGTCTTATACTATTGGTAACGTAGGCAGAGGCCTAGTGCTATAGTAAGACTAAGGAAAGTAACATAAGAAGAAGAGAAGTATCGTTCCCTGTCGCTAAGAGCAAACTATCCGAGGAGGCATCATTATATTACAAAGTGTCACCTAGTGCGATACCAAATCATATAAGACAGCATCCTTCAATCTAGATAGTGAAGAAGATATCGACATCAATGATCAAAACCTTAAACTAGGAGGATTTAGCAACGTCCTAGATCACGTCTCAGCAGAGCCCTCAAGGGCAGCAAGCCCAGTAATCCCAGAGAAGGGATCACCAGTAGATAGCTCTGCTGCAGGAACCCCACAACCTGAGAGTATGTTGGGATCAGTAGTACCTGTGCCAGCAGCCCTGGCCGCTCTGGCACCAGGCACTAGCATACTTGGAATGAATGAAAATCAGTTTCAGGCATTTCCAGCAGTAACATGAAATACAGGACAAGGAAATATCAAGCTACCGAAAGCAAAAGAACTCGACACATACGAAGGAGCTGAAGATAAGCTACAAATATTCCTGGCACAATGTGAAGGGTACTTTGCCGTTAAGAGATATAGAGAACACCATGAGGAGATCAAGATACCCTATGTGGAATCTCTACTCCGAGGACTGGTGGGACAATGGATCATGCCATTCCAAGATGGAAGACAACAGAGGGAATGGATCACATGCGAGGAATTCAAGGTGACACTGTTTGAACAATTCGGAGATCCCAATGCTAAGGAGACAGCTAGACAAAAGCTGGAGAAACTACAACAAGGAAAACAGACCATCTCAGCATATTGGAATGAATACCGATTATGCGAATATGAGGCAGAATTTGATGATGCTACCCTCTATATCATCTTCCTAAGAAACTGCTGCAAGAGACTCTGAGAGGCATGGGGAATCTCTGACTCACTCTACACAATAGCAGAACAATTTGCAAGATGGGCAATCGATATGGAAAGCAAACAAAACATGGTTGGAAAGAACTCGGAGAACACCATAGCACATAGGGTGGTCTAATCATCCAGAAATGTGGATGGAACCGTCAAACCACAGGTAGCTCGAGGTGAAAGTTGAGCATTACCACCAGGAGAACCAATGGAGTTGGATAAATCCAAGGCAGGACCTGCTCTGAACCTGTCAAAGGAAGAATACTTTAGAAGAATGAATGGGAAACTCTGCTTGAGGTGTGGAAAAGCAGGACATTGGATATGAGAATGAAGAAGCCGGCCTGACAGTGGATACCAAAGGACCAGAGCTGCAGGAAACAATCGTTTCCAAAATCAAAAAAGGAGCAACATTCACGAAATGATCGCAGAAGATTCACAGGCAGAAAACGATGCAGG